TTTTTAAATTTTTCTATTTTTTTAACTTTCTTTATAAATTCTTTTATTAGCAATTTTTTGTAATTTTTTAATTTTTTGTATTTTAAAAATTTTTGTAATTCCTAATAAAAATATTAATAAAGTGATAACGTTGGCTATATCGTCTTTTTTAGCAACTGCGATTTTTTTATCGCAGTTACGGCGTAACTGCGATCGCACTGTGACCCGTAATTACGAAAAACTGCGACGCAGTTACGCGTAACTGTGATTTTTTTATCGCAGTTACGCGCAACTGCGATTTTTTCATCGCAGTTACGCGTAACTGCGTCGCAGTTTTTCGCAATTACGGGTCACAGTGCGATCGCAGTTACGCCGTAACTGCGACGCAGTTTGACCGCAGTCGAACACATGGGAAGGAATCTTTTTAAATTTTAAATTATTTTCATAGTTTATTTTGATTTCAAACGCTTATTTAGTTTAAAATAATTTTCTTGCACGTCAGCAATGAGAAAAAATTTTTTTGAAAAAATAAAAACAATATTTGAGTAGTCGTATTCTATTTTGTTTGTATTAAATAGTATTGAAGAATGTTTATTGACATTTAAAAATTCATCACTTGACGGTGCTGTTCAATTAGTTAAGCAATTGATAAGTGACATACATGTATTGTGTGGGTGATCGAATCTAACCGTCGCCCTTATATTTCTATCATGTAGACTAGCTCGAGCTCGATCTGTACAAAAGACTTTAATTCGTTGTATGCAGTGTCGTCATCGATCTGCTTTTTTTTTCTTATTTATAATCGCTTTTAGACGGTTATCAATCTGTTATTACATGACTAGTCGTTTTTCTCAAAATGACTAGACATAACAAGCAGAATGACGACCGCTAGTTAAGCAGTCAAGATGTGAGTTGTGAACTACGAATGACTTCAGACTAGTTATGTACAAGGACTATTTGCGATAAAGACTAGACAAAACGTACTGTCACGACTATAAAAACAAATAATCGTTTTACTCATTCTTTACTCGCCTAGGTAGTAAGCTTTCTTAGTATCCAGACTGAAAAAAATTTTCTAGTCTTTATATCACATTGACTTGCAATGTGTTTACTCTTCCCATTTCGTACTCTATAACATGCAATTTTTATCTTACCTTACTCTATTTCCGACATGTCAAATTTAGGAGTCGCAATCTATGTTAAACTAATGAGGGAAGATATTCAACTGTTGAATACCGTTCGGCACTATTTTTTGACTGTGAGTTGGACTTAATGAGACTAAGAAGACTCTAAAAGAGTTCGTGCCCATGGCGTGTCAGGAAGAAGGGTGGGCATATCGATAAAGAGAAGATACATTCAACAGTTTCTCCGAGTAAAGAAAAAGAAATCAAGTGTTTTAGTCTTACTAAGTCCTACTGACAACCAAAAGATGGGATCTCATAGTGTCTGATATGTGGATACGTTTCCTCGTCAGATTTTGTTTGACAGATTTGCCCAATCAATATGATTGCATCTGTAGTTTAGATCTTTTAAAGACGAGTTTTGAATTCGATATTTTCAGTTTAACCTATCGAAATAAAAAGAAGAAACATTTCCATTAGAGATCTAAAAAGTGTAGTTTTTTCTTACCCTGTTTCTTGACTGAAAAAAATTTGCTTACTTTTATCATACTCTGCAGAATAGACTTCTGAATTGCTTTCATTTATTTTCACTTCAAAAAAAAGAACCATTAGATTTGGATGATATTTTTTTGTTTCTTCTAGATTCAACGATGTCGAAAAATCTCTTACATGAATCAGCATCATCGGATGCTCTGCGTTTGAAAGCTTTACAATCTGGTTTTGAAAGTCTTGTTGAAGTTAACCAACGAATGTTAATTGATAAAATGCTTGCACGTTATTCATCAGATTTTGTTGTTTGTCGTGAATTAATTCAAAATTCGGACGATGCTAAAGCAACATCATTTCATTTTGAAATAACTTGTGATGATGGATCATTATCATCATCTTCAGAAAAATATTTTCATAATAAAACTATAACAGAAATTCGTACAATAAATAATGGTCTTATTTTTAATGAAACTGATTGGAAACGTGTTGCAGCTATAGCTGAAGGAAATACTAATGTTGAATCCATTGGTCAATTTGGTGTTGGATTTTTTTCTGTTTTTTCATTTTCTGAAGAACCAATTATAACATCAGGAAATAAATATATGGCATTTGTTTGGCGTGATGATAATTCTTTAACAACTTATCGTCATGAATTACCATTAGAACAACAATCAAAATTAACATCAATTATTCTTAAAATGCGTACAAAATATATTTTACATACAGAAACAAATCTTGATTTTGATTCAAGAATAGATATCAATGAAAGTTCTAGTGAGAAATCACCAAGTAAAAAACAACAAAAGAAAAGCACAACACCGATAACAACAACAAATGAAATTATTCCAACAATTAATCTCGCACAACTCAAAGCTTATTTTACTAAAGGTAAAACACTCAATTTTTGAGAGGACAGATACATAGTACATGGCACAATAACCACGAATTCTCATAAAAGTCAACCAAATTTTTAGAGAAGCATCACTTTCCCACTGTTAATAGCCACGCTCACGCATACTTTGAATGTTTTTCTTTTCATATTACACTTGAGTAAGTTCAAACACTAGAACTAGCATTGAGAATATATGTTTCAATGTTTTTATATTCGACTTTTGTTTGCCAAAATTTGTACGCTGGATAGAATATTAATAACTGTTCATTTGATTTATATTTTTGTTTTTTTTTAAGTTTTGTCATTTACAAAACACATTAATGAACTTATTATAAAAATTAATCAAAAAGTAATTTTTACAGTAACAAAAACCAGAAAACCTATATCATCAACAAAATTTAATTCACAATTTAAAATGAATTCTATTCATAATATGTTACGTTTTGATGCATTAGTTCAAACAAAACAAATATTTTCTATTGATCATGGTCCATCTATAGCATTAAATCATATATCTGTTCATGGAACATTGATTATTGATGAAAATTATCATAATCATATTCGACGTATATTGAAAAAAAGTTTACCACCACGTGTACAAATTCAACTTCTATATACACCTCATAATGTAAAATACAATTTGTAGATTGTTTTTATTTTTTTATTTTGAAATGTTTTTCTTTCTTAGATTGTAATGGCACAACTACAAAAAAAATCATCGAAAAATGATGATCTTCATATGAAAATACTTAATTCATTAATACCATTAAAATTTCAACATGATGAAATTTATCCATCAAGTTTTATTTTTATTGGTCTTTGAACACATCAAACAACTGGTATAGGAATGCATGTTTATAGTCATTTAATTACAACAATTGAACGTGAAAATCTTGATTTACAAGATCCATATATATCGAAATGGAATAGAGAGCTTCTTCTATCTGTTGGACAAATAGCACGATTTATTTATAATCAATTAATAGTTGTTAATAAACAATTCGATTCTACGATTGCCTCTTATTCATTCCAACCATCTGTACCAAATAGTGAAATTGGTAAATATAGATTTTTTTTAAAGCACTTATAAGAAATAAAAAAACATACGAATAAATTGTGAAAGATCTCTCATTACAACAGAAATTCTACTCTAGATAATCCTCAACTTTCTAGAAGATAAAGCTAAAATTTCTTTTTTGGTCTTTTATTTAGGTTCGATTCTTGTTGATGGATTTTTTTTCTTCCTCAGATAAAGATTTACTTGTTCCTGTTAAACGAGTTCCAACAGATACTAATCTTTCACTTATTCCATCCAGACAAGCATATATAGCTAATTCCAAACATATACATTCTTTTCTTTCATTATCACTTGTACCATATGAATTAAGTAAAAATGGTTTATTTCAAACATTAAAAGATCGTAATTTAATTATTGAAGTTAATAATTTATTAATTGAATTAACAATACTAACAACAATACTTTTATCAAATCAATTTGTTGAATTTCTTCATTGGTTATCTAGTCAAAATAATGATGATAAACAATATATGAAACGTTTATTATCAATAGTACGTTTTCGTGAAACAAATAATTCATCAATAATAGCATTAAAAAAATTAATTAACTATGATAATTTTAATATTTCAACAATACTTCCATTACCATCACATGTTTTACCAGCAAGTGTAGCTACTTATCTATCACGAGACGAATTACAAAAACAATTACAATTAACACCATTAACATTAAAAGATTTTCTTCATTATTATCTACTTAAAAAACAATTATATTTATTTACAAAAGAAAATACATCAACAGGTTTATTACATATTATTTCAAAACATTCAGGTCAATTAAATAAAACTGAATGGAATAAATTAAAAACAACATTATCAACAATACCATGTATACCAACAAATCAAGGAATGAAAATTCCTAATGAATCATATATTCCATCATCAATTTTATCATCAGATTTACCAATTATAACATTAAATGTACCACAAAATTTAACGGACGATGATGATGATGATAGACAATCAATCATAGAAAATATGGAAAATTCTGTATCAGCTGAATTTCTTAAACGTTTAGGTTGTCGAACATTAAATGTACAATCATTTGTACATGCACCATCATTATTAACAAATTCAATTATATCAAATTCACATGCAATGAAAACTTTAATTCAACATTTAATGGAAGAAAGAGATAATATGAGTGAAGGAGATCTTCATGGGCTAAAACAAAATGAACGTCTTAGAGGTAAGTTTAAACAATTATCTATTAGTTACTAAATCTGAAAGAAATATTTAAAGTTTTAAGAGACATTTATTCAGTTACAGAACTTCTATTTTACCCAGTTAAATGTTACTCAGTATTTAGAACAAGTTGAATTTAGTATGAGCTTAATGTAGTCAATAAATTTTAACAAGATTCTG